AGAGAGACAGAGAGAGAGAGAGAGAGAGAGAGAGAGAGAGAGAGAGAGAGAGAGAGAGAGAGAGAGAGAGAGAGAGAGAGAGGATCTTAGGGACACACCTAGATGCACAGAGACAGGCATAGGGATGTCGGGGTGGATACTGGTGAAGTGTATAATCTGAGCACAGTTAACGGTTGGTATTATGGTTAAATTTCTGGTTACAATGCTATGTTGTAGTCTGGAAGGTGTTATTGGGGAGACTAGGTGAAGGGCGCATGTGTGGGTGATCTCTGTTATTATTTTTCTTCTTCTCCCTTCTCTCCTCCATTCTTTCCTTCCTTTTCTCCTTCGTTTCCCTCCCTCCTTCTCTTCCTCCCTCCCTTCCTTCTTCCTACCTCTCTCATCCTCCCCCTTTTTCTGACAGAATCTCACTATGTAGCTCAGGCTGGCCACACACTCACCATCCTCCTGAGTGCTGTAATCATACCCACCTACCCCACCCCCACTCTGAACATGGGATCTTGTAGTTGCAATAAGGTTTCTCTTATCCCCAAACAGCAGATTGTTTCAGTCAACATCCATGGTCATATGCATCATCCCGGAAGTTCCCTTGAAGGCTGGGTTAGGGGGTTAGGGTTGGGTTTGGGGATAGCGTTAGGGATATTATGGATATCTATCCTTCAGGTAAAATGTTAATTTCTTGCTAGCACTCCCACTCAATAAAGTGAGTTCTCCTTTCCCCACCTCTTCGTCCTTGGCACAGTCAGGATTTGAGAATTTTCACTGGCATAAGAAATGTGAAACTGCATCTTATCCTTGCTTTAATTGTTGAAATTCTTTTCATATCTTATTTATTAATCCATTGCTGGTTCATCTCTTAGAGAGTTTTCTGTCACACATTTAACTCCTTATGTCCCAGAGACTGAGCTGATTCCATTCTTCCCATTTTTTTTTTTTTTTTTGAGACAGGGTTTCATGTCTCATGTTGTTCAGCTGGCCTGAAACTCTATGTGGCAGAGGCTGACCTTGAATTTTTTATCTTCCTGCATCCATCTCACAATTAGAGGGTGACAGGCATGTACCGGGCTGCCAGATTTCATGTGATGCTGAAGATCGAACTCAGGACCTTGGGCACGCTAAGCAAGTGCTCTACTACCTACGTCCCAACCATCCACTCCCCTGCCCTTTCTCTCCTCCCCTAGAGCTCACAAAGCCCAGAGCAAAAGAACTTTCAGAGCCACAGTGCGGCATCTTTAATCTTTACACCTCCTGAGTGTAGCTCCTGGTAGCTTCAGAATCGCTAACAAGCATCTCCTATGGACTTTGTTTCTAGGCTAAAATTTGCCCACCACAGATTTCAATAGAGACTTAAAGCCTTCATGGAAGAATGTTCTAGCAGTTTTCCCATGTGCTTGGGAGGCACAGGGACTTCTGATGTGTTATCTCTTTGTTGCAGCATAGGACCTCCCAGATTCCTTTAGTGTGCTCTGGGGGACTGGTAAGAACCTGTCTTTGCAAGCAATAGCTTATTAATGTGACGCTGGGTCACAGGGACACTTGCTTTTCTTCCTTATCAATAAAGAAAGCTAAGCAAAGGATACCAACTAAGATGGGTGTCTCTATGGTCAGGCCACCTGGGGGATGGAACCTGGATGTTTTAATAGGCATGGCCACTAGCTAGTTGTGGCCTTAAAATTTTACTTTTGGTCATATGTATATCTGGGTGGGGGTATTTGCATGTTGTAAAAGCTGGTACCCTCAGAGTCCAGAAGACTGTGTCGGATTCCTAGGAGCTAGAGTTACAAGCAGTGATGAGCCAACTGATGTGGGTGCTGGGAACTTAACTAGGGCCCCCTACAAGGACAGGGGAGCATCTTTAACCACTGAGCCATCTCTCCATCCCCTAATGGTGGACATTTAAGAAGAAAGGAAGGGGGGGGGGATGAAGCTCTCCCACTTCAGTTAAAACTTAAATGCAGGAGTCAACAGTTTTCAGTATCGAGCCTGGTGTTTGGTGAGTGGTCAGTCAATGCCACCTGCTATTGGGAAGGCAGGGGAAGCTGCTGACATTGGAAAGAACCTGGAGAGGGGCGAAACCCACATGGTGGAAGGCGAAAGCTGACCCCTTGCAAGTTATCCTTTGACCTCCACACTTGTTCACCCACCTATACCCATAAGTAAATAAATATAATCTAAGCATTAAAAACATAAAGAGCCTGAAGAGGAAACCAAGATTCAAACAAAATAAGCTTTAGCACTCCAAAATCCAGGCTAAACTGGAACATCCTTGAAAGATGGGGCTATGTTCTTTTTCTGTGTTCACAGATTTTTTTTAAAAAAATCACACACACCATTTCCACCAAGAACCAACACTTCATATCTAGACAGACATCAAAAGTGGATTTGACACATTTTTAAAAAAATCTCAAGTCGATAAAAGTACGCATTTCAGAACAATTAAATTCTTAGGCGTTGCACCTCACATTCACGATTATTTTAAACTGTTATTTTCTCTCTCAGGTTTCTGTTTATCCAACCGAGAATCTGGGAATGTCTACACGAGCTGGGGGGCTGTGCACCTGTTATGTGGTTATCCTGCACTCCAACTTGGGATGGCCTCTTCCCAGGATCCCATCCTCTAACACGGGTGCCCCCACCCATCCCAGAGGTGCCGGTGGCAGGGGAAGCTCTTCTGGGAGAGCCATGAGTAGTGAGTGAGTGGTCCTTTGAGCTCATCTAGACATAATCTCCAAAGCCACAGGTCTTAAATGAGACCTCCCTAAGGTTGCCTTCTTCTAAAGAAATGTTCTAGTTGCATGCCCGGTGTCCTGCGCAGGCAGAGGCGATGCCTGTCCAGTGTCTGATGCCTCCCACCCGACAGGCTCTCACGCCCTGCTCCAAGACTGTCCCCAACGGCACAGATCCACTCTCATGTGGTGTGGTGTGCTGTGTGGCTCAGCAGCTGTCCTGCTGGCAAGCGTCAAGTGTCAGAACTGATTCCTCAGAGAATCACAAACCCTTGTCCAAGCCTCGCTCCACCTCCCAAATCAGGGGACTAGAGAAACACCTCAAAATCCCACACAGGGTACGCACATCCCCTAAAAACCAGAGGCGTTTACAACACACCAAAGCAGAACATGAACACGAGGACTGTCCCCCGGGGGCTACTGGGACCCGGCGCTTCAGCAGGACCAAGAGATCAAGTTAGGGCGGGAAGACGGGGCCGGGCTGGACACAGCGCGGGGGCCAGCAGGTGGGCAGGGTGGGAGAGGGCCTAGGAGCCCGAGACAGGCCCGGAGAAGGCGGAAGCCTGGACAAGTGCCTGTCGCCGCCCTCTGCTCGAAGAGGAACTGCTTCTCCTTGTGGGGAAGGGCAGAGCAGGGCAGGGCTCGCACGAGGGCCAGCAGGTGTGTGGTTAGCAGGCAAGGCAGGCTTAGGTGGGCCCCTGGGCGCCCTCGGAGCCCATCAGGACCCCTCTCCGCACGCGGACGGCTGTCTCTCTAGACCGAGGTCACCTCCCACCTCTAAACTCCTCCCCTCACCATTTTTAGGCCGCTCGAGTTTCAGCGACCCCGGGGTCCCCAGGCCTGGCCGGAGACCACTCCGGGCTATCCTGCAGGCTCCCAGTCCCCACCGCTGTGGACCTGAGTCTACACTTGCGTCCACCACTTGCCAAGAAAGATGGGGCTGCCGACGTGGTTTCGGTCCGAGAG